TTGAGCGATCCACCCGCCTTGGTCTCCCAGAGTGCTAGGATTACAGGTGTGAGCCATCGCGCCCGGCCCCTAATCAACTATTTTTAAGAACCTACTAGAAACAAACATACAGTCAAATCAAGGCAAAAAACTGAGTAAGAATACCTAGATTCAATTCCTAGTGCCCCCACTTAACTAGATGACCTTGCATGAATACCTGGCCTCTCTCGAGCCTCAAGCTCTACCGCTCCCCCAATACCTGTAAACCGAGGGTGACCACTGCCCCTGCAACACTATCCTCATAGGCTTGTATTAAGTGAGAATAGATACATGAGAGTGCTCATTATCAGACAGCAGGTGCAAGATTTGGGGGAGGTCTGTATAGGAGAAGGAACCTCAAAAACCCAGGGGAGGAGCCAGGATATCTGAGTTCCCAACCTGTCTCTACCACTAGCTTGCTATGTGACCATGGGTAAGCCCTTCTCTTCTCTAGGGCTCAGTTTCCCAAATGATGAACCTGAACTAAGCGAGTGATTTTACAACTTTCTTCTAGCCAAAGAACTCTTTTTTCAAATCAAATCCTATATGGAAGTCCAACATATAAAATGGATAAATGCAAACCAGCACCCTATACCCCATTTCTCATCGGTTTTTTTCACATCTACTCCCTCAGAACTCTGGGGTTCTGTAACACATTACTGGAAAAGCACCTCTGTGATTTCTTTTCTTCTTTTTTTTATTAGACATAGGGTCTCGTTCTGTTGCCTGGGCTGCAGTACAGTGGCATGATCATAGCTTGCTGTAACTTTGAACTCCTGGGATGAAATGGCTGTGCACCACCATGCCCAGCTAATTTTTAAAATTGTTTGTAAAGACAGGGTCTTGCTATGTTGCTGAGGCTGGTCTGAAACTCCCGGCCTCAAGTGATCTTTCTGCCTCAGCCTCCCAAAGCACTGGGATTACAGGCATGAGCCACTCTGGCCAGAACTTCATGATAAATGATTAAATGAGACCATTTTCTCTACTACTAACTGATTAAAGCAATCTCACTAGCAACTCTACTGCCATGCACTTTGACCTTGCACGAATTTTAAGAATGTGGCCTGTCTCTCATAGTGTAGTATACAATAGCTCAGCTCTCGAGTCAGAAGGACCTAGGTGCGTACTTTGGCTCTGCCTCTCTGATAGCTGTGTGACCCAGGATATACACCTTAACTTTTCCGGTTTTTACTTGGGTTAATAATATCTTTCTCACGGGATAATGTGACTATTAAATTAGAATATATTTCTGGCTAGTACATAGTAAGCACATAAGAAAGGTTAAGATTAATGTGCAATACAGAAGAATTTGGACACATGGGATGTGTCCCCCATCCCCAGGCCCTTTGGTGTAAACTCTGAGCTGCACAGGCTCTGCTAGGACTAGGGAGCAATGTCTGTGGCCCAGAGATTCACCACCCTAATACGGACAGAAAGAAGCCTGGCTATCCTCCCCATCACCTGTTGTTCCAGGCCCATCTTCACTGGAGCTCTAGGCTTGCTGTTTTCTCATCTTCCCAGTCCTGATGTAGGCAGGTGCTAGGCCTACATCAGTTATAATGGTGACTTTGGGGCAATTCTGGTGAGGGCTCCACACTTTGAAGCAAATGATCTCCACAGAACTTCCTCTTTGCCCCTTTCTGGCTTTGTTCCCTAAGTTAAGTCTAAACTTAATGACAGCTAAAAATGGTACTAAAGCTATAGCTAAGAATGGTACTGACACTTCCCCATAAAAGCCTCTTATGCACCACCCCATCCCTCCCAGGAGACTCTGCAGTGGGAGAATAGTAACTTTTAGTGATCACTATGCAGAGAAAATGAATTCCTCAATGTTTCTTTCACTTCATTCCCTTGGCCACAGTTTATTGGTTCTTGGGTAGAAATTTGATATAAGGTGGGCCAGTTAAGGGATTTAGTTCATTCTGGACTACTCCTTTGAAGCAGAGAAAGCTGGTCTGCAGAGAGAGAAGGAAGTAAATATATGAAGAGGTTCCACCTAATGGATTTTAATTCCTGGTTTCAGTTTTGCTTGAGGCTGGCTGTACTTGACCTTGAATTCTGTGAAATACTTCAATATCCTCAGATAAACGCCAGAAAGAAAGAAATAAAAGAAAGACAAGGAAGGGGAGGAAGGGAGGAAGGGGAGGAAGGGAAGGAAGGGAGGAAGGGAGGGAAGGAAGGAAGGGAGGGAAGGAAGGAAGGGAAGAAAGGGAGGAAGGGAGGGAAGGGAGGAAGGGAAGAAAGGGAGGAAGGGAAGAAAGGGGGGAAGGGGGGAAGGGAGGGAGGAAGGGAAGGAACTGGAAGAAGGGAAGGAAGGGAGGAAGGGAAGGAACTGAAGGAAGGGAGGAAGGCAAACTAGCTTGCATTTCTGATATTTGTCACTAAAGACATCTAATTAACATTAAAAGGATTTGAAGTCCCTTAAATAAGCTTCAGATAACAGTTGGGAAGGTTAGGGTGAGGCTGGGGGTGGTGGAAGAACAAGCTCTCCCCCGATAGCATCTTACTGTTCTTCCATCAAGCGGGTGAACTTCTGCCGGGCCAGGTCCATTAGCCCGTCTACCTCACTCTTGGAGCGTTTGAAGTTCTCAATGCTGAACGCGTAGACTGTCACCTCTAGGATGCCCAGGTTCAAACACCAGCGCAGAGTCTGAGAGGGAAGAAGGCAAGGAGCTAGGATACAAGGAAGAGCAGGAATGGAAATAAGAGATGTTTCAGCCCTAACTCAGAGTTGGAGATGGGAGGCAGACTTTTCTCCTCCCCAAACCTGGGTAAAGCTAGGATAACATCAGTGTCTATGTCAAAAAATGAACCAAATAAGCAGAAAGTCACCATTTAAAAAAATGAAAAATGTGATCTTAGTGAATGCTGATGCCACTCTGGTTTACTGGAAAGAACTGTTCACTGAAAGTATAAAGACCTAGGTTCTAGTCCCTGAGTCCATCATGCGCTACCTACCATGTGATGGTAGACAAACCTTTTAACCTCTCTGGGCCTAAGTTTCCTTATCTGTAAAACAGGATCACAATCCATCCCTCACAAGGTGGCTAACAAACAATATAAAAAACAAGGTATGACAGCATAACTTCATTATTCTGGTAAATTGAGAGGCTAATGTATTAAAAGAACAAAAGCAATTGGACAGCTGTTAGCATCTAATAGTCTGCAAAGGGTTTTCACATACATTATTTCATTTGATTTTTCAACCACTTAAAAGTGGCACTATTGTTTCATGCCTACTTTACAAATGAAAAACAGGCTCAGAGAGTTGAAGAAATGTGTTAAAAGCATACAACTCAGCTGTATGATTCCATGAAATGAAGTTCTAGGACAGGAAAAATGAATCTATTCGTACAGAAATCAGAACAGTGGCTCCCTGGAGAGGGAAGGACGGGTCAACTAGGAAGGGACACTAGGGAACACCTTGGAGAGATGGACATGTTCTGTATCTTGACAGGGGTACGGGTTAGATAAACAAATACAATTGTCAAAACTCAAAATCTGTGCATTTCACTGTATGAAATTATACCTCAGTTTAAAAAGAAGCAAAGGCCAGGCGCTGTGGCTCATGCCTGTAATCCTAGCATTCTGGGAGGCCAAGGTGGTAGGATCGCTTGAGCTCAGGAGTTTGAGACCAGTCTGAGCAAGAGTGAGACCCCATCACCACAAAAAATAGAAAAAATTAGCTGGGCGTGGTGGTACGCACCTGTAGTCCCAGCTACTCAGGAGGCTGCGGCAGGAGGATTGCTTGAGCCCAGGAGTTCGAGGTTGCTATGAGCTAGGCTGATGCCACGGCACTCTAGCCTGGGTGACAGAGCAAGACTCTGTCTCAAAAAAAATAATAAAATA